CTGGGCGGCTGCAAGCTACGTAGGTCCGTGCATCCGAAGAAGGGTACAACCCTCCCAGACCACTGTACACGGCATCGGTTCAGCGATGCAGAGGCGTAGCCGCATATCACTCCAATGCAAATACCACATGCCACATACCGAAAACCAATGTCCTCTGCCGCACGCCAACGCATCAACACATGCCTCCGATGACCCGGCTGATGGGAATCCCGCGCGGGCGGAAGCCTGCTAATCGAGAAGTCTGCGAAGGCATACGCGTAATCACTGCTTCCCCCAAGGCGTACAAAAGCACCACGACACGGCGTCACACCAACACTCGCGCGTGGGACCCTGGCATGCTGCTGCTGCTCCTGCTGCTGTTCGTCCTGCTGCCCCGGCTGCCCTCGCCGCTCCCCCCCCCGCCCCGCCCCGCCCCCCGACTGGCACTGGCGGCCGTGTTGTCGGTCCTCATCCGTTCGAGGGAAAAGCGGCACCACCACTAATTAGCACAGGCGTGAGGAGCGGGGGGGGGAGGGACAACCGAGGGGGGGTCCTCCCAGCGGTGTGGTCCCCCGTCTCCGCTCGAGACATCCCCCTATCCCCAGCTTGGGGAGGCATCGTGGACCTCCTCGCCAATGGTGGCACCCCCAATGGGCGGTATGGCTGTTCCTTCCTCCGACCCCCTCCCGAAACCTCCGAACATATTTGACACAATATACAAAAAGTAATAGAGCACCTCGTCAAAAAAAATGAGATCTGCCACCGTGAATTCGGCACGTAGTGGATTGCCCAAAGGCGGGTAGAGGCGTTGAACAAGTCCTAAAGGCCTCGCGAACCAATTTCCCATCTGGTTCCTGAAGCTTCCGGGAGCTCTTGAAGACTTCTGGGAGCTCCCAAGAGCAACCAAGAAACGACCAAGAGTGTCCAAGAGGCCTCCAAGAAACCCAAAGAGCGTTCCAAGACGCCCACGATGATCTCGAGACGGCCCAAGAGATCCCCAAGAGGCCCCAAGAGCGCTCCAAGAGGACCCCCGCGATGGCCCGAAGAGGCCAACATCAATTACTTCCTGTGTTCGAAAGATTTTAGCCTTCTCGCATTTTTCAGCTTCGAATGCTCCAACACGGCCCAAGAAGCCCCCGATAGCGCCTCAGGACTGCCCAGGCCCCCAGCAGGGCCCCAAGACGCCCCAACAGGCCTATAAGACGGCCCAAGAGGCACCCTCTGGGGCCCCAAGAAGGGCCCTAAAGGGGAAACGCGAATATAAATTTCAAGCCTTCCGGCCTAGGATAGCCCCAAAAGCCCCCCAAAGACTCTGGAGGCCCCCCAGATCCCAAGAGGCCCCCAAAAGGCTTTCCGGGCGCCCCAATAGGCCCCCTAGAAGCCCCCAAGGGCCCTCCCAAGAGTCCCCCAAGAAGCATCCCAAGAGACCCTAATATGCATCCAAGAGGCCTCTGAACGGCAGCCCAGCAACTGGGAAAAAAACAACTCCAGGACGAATCGCCCCTCTCCTTCCCCTTTTTCCCGTAGCGCGCACCCAACGACTGTTTCTTTGGCATGCTTTAAACGTGCCCTGTTGCAAACAAGCCCTGGCCCTCGGGCTTTCCCCGACAAGGCTTTCAGCTCGAGCCGTTTTCGGACGAGGGCCCCGGGAGGGCTTCGGGAGGCCAGAAATCCGCCGACCCTGTCGGCGTGTGTGAGACGCTTTCCACTGTGAGTCGTCGTCGTCGCCCTCCTCTTCGTCAAGCGACCCATCCAAAGGGGAGCCCCTCCCCCTTGATCTCTTCGTTGGCGGGGGGGGGGCGGGGGAGTCCTGAGGGCGGGGTGCCGGGGCGGCTCCTGGGGGGGAGTGTCCAAGGTCGTGCCCTCCCCTCCCCGGCCTCCGGGCGGTCCCCCGTGCACAAGGGGGACAAGGCGGTGGTCCCCTTGTGGACAAGGACAGTTAGGACCCCTCCACCCGCCTTTTCCCTGTGGACAAAGAGGACCACCACCCAGACCTTCACGTGCCCTCGGAATCTGAGGGCAGCCTTCAGAATCAGAGGTCGAGGATTTAAAAACCTAAAAACTTAGCCTGGATTCAAAAAAACCTAAACCCATATGTTTTTAACATATGGAGGTCCATGGATGTATGCGGGGGTCCAGGACTTAAATTTAACTCCCTGCCAGATGTTCGCGGTTATCTTGGCCCCGAAACCTCGGCGGCCATCGAAGAGCGTCGGGGGCCGGCTCGACGACCGAAAGCCGGCTCGTCCTCGATCCTCGTCGTCGTCCTCCTCCTCCCCCCCCGACTACGACGACGACGACCCTCCTCCCATCTCCTCCTCTTTCCTTCTCCTCGATGTTCCTCCGCATCCTCCTCCGCTCCACCTCACTCCTCGCCTTCCTCCTCCTCCTTCTGATCCTCCTCCCCCTCCTCCTCCTCCTCCTCCTCCTCCTCCTCCTTCTCCTCCTCCTCCTCCTCCTCCTCCTCCTCCCCGGAGCGGGCGCTGGCCTGCGGAGTGAAGGCCTTCACGCCGTAACGACGGCGTCGACGACGGCGGCGGCGGCGGCAGGAGCGGGGAGGAAGGATGAGGAGGACACTCAGTTCAAAAGAACAGGAAGGAGGGAGTGAAGGAGGAAGAGGAGGGAGGAAGAGGAGGTAGGAAGAGGAGGGAGGAGGGAAGTGGACGGAGGAGTGGGGGAGGGCTCAGCGCTTTTCCCAGCACGTCGTCCTTTGCGTTCCCCCTCTCCGCACGTCCCCCTCCGCATCATTCCGCCGCGGCTGAAACGGCGTCGCCAGGGAGCTCCACTCCGCGACAACGATCAAGGGTGATCGTCGTCGCCGTCGTTCGCCACCTCCTCATCCTCATCCTCCTCCTCATCCTCCAACTCCTGCCTCCGCATCCCATTCATCAAGCCTGGACAAACTCCAGGTCGTCTATGCACAGAGCGCGCTCGAAAAAACTCTCTGCAAAATTCATGGGGTGCGTCGCTTGCGACATGCGCTTTGATATGCCATTCTCGTGCTCATCTGTGTAAGTTGTGTATGTGGACGGATTTCCGTACACGGCCGAATCTAATGCCATATGGACACCTTGGTGGTGCTTCGGAATGTGGTTGCCGCCAGCGAGCTTATATTGCGCAGTATGGCACAGCATTGTATCTAAGAGCTCTTGGCACAGAGGGAACGGCAACAAACGGGGGTTCGATTTCATAATCTGTACTGCTCGGAGTGCGTGCGTGCCCGCTGCCAGCAAATGGGGCCCTCCATCAAGGAGGTGTCCGTGCAATTCCATCATCTTAACCGTAAAAAGGAGGAGCTCCTTGGTTTCTCCGCCTTTAGCCTTCAAAGTCGGGTCCCGAGACGTGGAGGTCTTCGAATCACCTAGCATCCCGAGTGTGAGGCGGTCGATCTTCGAAACTTTCTTCAAAGGATCGGCCGAGTGAACTCGCTTGTAAAACCTTCTCATAGCGCGGCGAAGCCATGCAATGTTGGCCTGGTTGCGCTCCTCTTTGATAGTATGGTCCGACTTGGCAACGTTGGCTTCTATTAGGCGCGTCAGAGCCAGCCCCTGATACTTCTGCCAGACTCCGAGGTCTAGGCAGCGCAGCGCGTCGTCGACGCAGAAATCGCACCGAAAGTATTCAATTCCCCTCCCCTCGCACTGTTGGCCTCGGCCCCTCTGACGTGCCCCCATCCTCCTCGTCCTTGTCGTCGCCCTTCGCCTCCCTCTCTCGATCCTCCTCCTGATTATCCCTCCTCCTCCGTCCGACGCCGACTTGCCTCCACCCCCCGCCCCAAGGGAGGCAGGCCGTTCAGGGGCGGCCGACACCAGCGTCAGTCACGGCAGGCGCCCCCGCCTGATTGCTCATGCCTCTCTGTCGCCCTCTTTCTTGTTTTATCTCTCTCTCTCTTTCTCTCTCTCTCTCTCTCTCTCTCTCTCTCTCTCTCTCTCTCTCTCTCTCTCTCTCTCTCTCTCTCTCTCTCTCTCTCTCTCTCTCTCTCTCTCTCTCTCTCTCTCTCTCTCTCTCCCCTTCTCTTCTCCCTATGTGCATATATCTGTGTACATATGTGTGCATGTGTAAACCACATATCTATATGATATAATTCCTATCTTCCTCGTTCCCTCACGCGTTGCTACGCATTTGCGCTGCCCGCCCTTCCCCTCCAATTATGCACGCCGTCGACGCTCCACAGCATCGAGCAGCCCGTGAGACCAGACTTCTTCGCAGGCCTGAAAAACATGAGGATGCACGGCACAGGTATCGATATCATAGCACCTATATCTAGCAACGCGTAGTTGCACAAGACCTTATCCATTCGCTGGAGCTCAACGTTACCGATGCGCACGGCCCTAGTGACGCGGCAACCGTAAGGCCAAATCTTAAAATACTGCATAGAATTGATGAGGGTATCCTTCTCGATTTGTGTGCTGATTGCTACTGGCACCAATTGTTTGCGCAATTCACTGTCTATAATTTCGTGCGTGTTCCTAACGAACTTCGTGTTATGGAACGTGGTGCCGTCAAAATCAAACATCGTCTCATCTCTGCAATCGCAATCTTTGCACGGGCGCTCCACTGCCTTGAACATCTTCAAGGCCATAATATAGCACATCTCAGGCCAATCGCCTGCGGGGCTCAACGTTCCCACCCGGGCCGGACTCACGGGGCGTCGCCGCTAGGAGTGCGTTGTCCCTGGAGGATCAGGGATGGAAGACATGGAGAACCGAGGGTCCAGGAAGTTTGCAGTTGGTTGACATTCCCAGTGGGTGGGGGAGGGGGCCTGGAAATCTTTCCGCGCCTCCATGCGACTGCACCCACGGAGCACCTAAAAAAATGTATTGGAGGTCGAGCCCTGCCTCCATATTCACAGATTGCCCCGCGCCACTCCAGCGGCGTACCAGCCACATCTCGGCGGCGAGCGTCGCGCTTGCTCACGAATGCCGAGCCGTCGTGCCTCTATCCCTCCCCATTTCCCTATCCTCCTGCTCCGCCCCCCGTCTTACCCCTATCCCCCCTTTCCGTCCGTCTTATTCCCTCCC